GAAAAGAAAAGGAAAGGAAAAGAAGAAAAGAAGGAAAAAAAGCTTAATTGCAAAGCCCAGGTCCAGATTTGCAGGGTAGTATTTGCCAGAACAGCCTCTTTTTAAGCCTCGCGTTTCACAGATGCTGAGGATTTTGTGGTTCCCACGAGCACCAGCTCGGAGGAAATCTATGACTCACCAAAACTGGGGTGAAAAAACACGAGAAAACAGGCAAGACCTGCACTTGCAGGAGGGTTTGAGCCCCCCGGTCTCAGATCTGCCAGGGATGGAGCCCTGGAGCCCATGGATGCTGCTGGAAAATCCGGTGTGCCGCTCTGGCGCGGCGGGCGCAGGGGCCGGGCGAGGTTAACCAGGCTGTCGGAAGGGTTTTTTTTTCCCTGCTCCTCGGGAAAAGGGCTTTTTTTYCCCTGCTCCTATAGCTGGGGTGACGCTGAGCGCCCCTGACACYGGTGCCAGCCCTCGGGGCGCTGCGGATCAAGGTGGCACCGCCGCGGATCCACGGAGCGCGGCAGGCGCCCGGCGCTTCGCCGGCACCCTGGCACCCCAAGACGAGCCCCCTCGCTCCATTTCCCTGCCCTATCCAGAGCTGGCACCTGGAATTGCCCCCTCGGAGCGTGGGATTCCCATTTAGAGCTGGAGGCGAGCAACGGGAAAAGGAGAGGAAAGGCAAATCCGTGTGCGCAAAAGGGCTCGGAAAGGGGGCAGGTGTTCCCCATTCCCGCTGTTTTCCCTTGGTTTCTGAGCATTTCCCAGCTTTCCTCGAGGTGCCAGGGTGCACRAGAGGATATGGAACAGCGAGGGGAACCCTCAGAGGTGGAAGATCCCTTGGGAAGCCCCAAATTCCCTGCTCAAGACCCCGGCRAGGGAGCTGCCGCCGCGCGGGCGCTGCGCACGCTCTTCCCTTTGTGTTCCCCAAAGGACCGAGGTGCTATTATGAGATCATTAAATTAATAACGTGGTAATGCRGGCAGATATATAAAACAATCTGCCGCGAGAACAAAAGGAATTACAGCGTCGCGAGCACTCGTAATTTAATTTAACAGCGAATTAGGGCGGCACACACAATTTCCCCCCTTCCGATGCCAACAGGCACAGGGGAAGGAAGGCGGCGTGCCTCCCGTGCCCTTTCCCACTCCTTTCCTCTTCCTGATCCCCCTTTTCCAGAGGAAAAAAAAAAGCTGCAACTGCACACAGTATCCAAATTAGCGCAAATCTCATGTTTTTTAATTTTACTTCCCCATTTTTTTTTGCTACCTATTTTTYCCCTCTTTTGTTTGAAATTAATTTGCTGCCGTTCCGCAGTTTATGGGAGAGTATTTTGATTGCTTTTGATGAAGTTTAACAAGGAAGGGGAAAAAAGAGKGTGTTGCATTAGACATCAAAGCGAATAAATCCTTTTTTGGGGCCTGCTTGTGCATAATTAACGAACGCTGTCGCTCCCCGAACAGTAAATACATCTATTATATTACAATAAAATATGTGTTGTAGCAATTAATAAATGCGACCAATACATGTGCCGGRTAAAGCCGCAAAAAGCCGGGATGGGAAGTTGCTCCTTTGTGGCACATTGAGGATGTGGGATAAGCCTTGGCTGGTAGGGATGGAGAGATTTTGGAAATTTCCACCGGAATTTCTTGGGAAAGGGAGACTTTGCCAGCAAGCTCAGCTGAAAACAGAATCATCAGCAGAAGTTCCCATCGTTGGTGTTAATTCCAATAATTATTAACTGCTTTCAAATCTTTATCCATGGGRTGGGTCAGGGTTGTCCTCCGAGAGGAGGTAGAAATCTGGGTACAAAATCACCTTTTTTAGCAAAACTCGTGCTTAGCCAAGGGCRGCTTGAACCCTCCCCAGGCTGGAGCTGTCTTATTCCAGTCGATCTCCATTCATGGGAAATTATGGATGGAGAGAGCAGGAGGAAATAAGCAGGAGGAATAAATGCACTAAAACGAAGCAACTCCTGGAAAAAAAAAAAAAAAAAAAAAGAGGGGCAGCAAGGACATCGGGGAAGGAAAGAAGGGAGATTAGCAAACAAGGGGAAAAAAAATCCCCAAATCCATGCAAGTGGAGGCTACAAAACAAATTAGAGTTGTTATGGCAACTGCTCTGTGTGGGCAGCAACACGTGGCTCCCGATGCACGGAATTAAAACGAGCGTCATGTTCAGCAGCTAATTAAACCCCGGTGCTCCGAGCACCGGCGCCTGCTTCCCAGGATGGGGATGGAGCCGATGGGGATGGGGATGGACGACATGGGGTATCCCGGTCCCGGGGCCGCGAATCCCTCCGCACATCCTAAGGGCAAGCTGGGAAGGGGCCTGGATGAAGTGGATTTCCCAGGGAATGCGGAGCCGTTGCCACCAGGGCCTCTTGCTCCTTTTGCCCTGGGATGAGTGCCGGAGGATGCCTGCAGCATCCCGGGAACACTGAGCTCCTTGTCCATGCCCGGCACCGAGGGGTGACTCTTTAATAAATGTCCCTTTATGCGAGCGGCGCTGGGAACGGCGCCCTCGGGGTCACTGGTGTCAGTGCCAGCACTTGTCCCCACGGTCCTGCATGGCCTGAAGTCACACAGCCCTTAAAAACCCCCATGTAAACCCAAAAAACCCCATTCCTGAAGTGCCCTCTGCCCCAGCAATGCCACCTCGCCTCCCTGAGCCTTATTGCATTCCCACCCTTCCCAAGCCTAACCAAGGGTCGGTGGCTGTAATTTCTCCCCATAGATGAGCAGGTTGTTCTTTTAATCCAGTCCCCAGCCGGGCAGTTTTAGTGGAGTTTAAATCCCTCCTCCTGGGGTTTGCTCCATGGTGCAAAGTGATGCATCCCGGCTGCAGCAGCGGGATGAGCCTGCTGGAGGGGGAAGCGCCGGAGCCGTTTCCCCAAATTGTGCGGGATTGCGTCAATAGGGGCACTCGGATGTGGAGCCAGGAGCTGAAAAGCGGCTGCTCCCAACGCCTGCCGTGCACGAGCTTCCCGCACGCTGCTCCATGGGAGGCACGGAGCCTCCCTGGGAAAGCGCCCGCGGCTCCCCCCACTCATTGTTCCATTCAACATCCCAAAAAAAAAAAAAAAAAAAAAGGCTTTTCAGCACTTTCTCATATCAAGGAAGTAATTGAGTCAAAATGGAGAAGAAATTGTCTATGAAGTTAATTATCCGGCGGGCGCGCTGGTCGTTTTTCAGCGCGCGGCGGCGAGCGGGAGCGGAGGCATCTCCCTCGGCGGTGATTAATGTGCTGGGGCTGCTCGGGGCTTGGAGGCCTGGTCCGGCTCTCCGGCTGCGGGATAAATCCCTCTCTACCTTTTCCAAGCCTGGGATAACTCGGAGCGTGACGCTCGCCGGTGTGGAATCACTTCTCCACGTGTGGGAAGAGCCTGTGCAAGCGCCAGCAAAGCTACTGGTGTAAATGGTTAAGTCCAGACTTCCAAAAAGCAGCTTATGAGCAGCAGTTTTCCAGGCAGAGGTGGTTTTCCAGGCACATCCCAGAGCTTTCCCGAGGGCTTACCTGCTCCACAGGGTCCTTCCCCCTGGATTCAGATGCAGGAGCTGCCTGTGATCCGGTGCCTCTCCATGGTGGGCRCGGATGGCATCTCCGCACCCCAGCCCTCCTTGTACATGGACTAAGAAACCAGGACCCGGCTCCCTCTCCTGCTCCATTTATCTCATTAATTATGGGAATRCTGCAGCGGGGAGGATGAGGTCCCGGGAATGAGCGTTTCCCTTGGGAGCCAAGCCCAGCTCCAACCACCCCGCGCGGCCAGACCGGCTTCGCTCCAGCGGGGAAGCAGACAAAGGAAGAGCAGCGCCTWGGTTTGACTCCCAGGAAAACCTGAGGCTTGATGCAATCCCATTGTCACGTTGCCGGATCAGCGGCAGAGGAAAGGCTCGGGCTTTTCCAAAACAAAGTGATTTGCATTAAAAAAAAGGAACAAAAACCCCCAAATCCATGCGCACGGTGTCCCCTTCGTCCCCCATCCCCATTCCACTCTGCGTTATTGCTTTATTCCTCTTTATTTCTCCTCTATTTGCAGGGCACACACATGGATTTTGCTCCTCTGCGTCTTGTTTGTTTGTTCTTGGTTTATTTTTTTTCCATTATAGATATCATTAAAAAAAATAAACTTTACAATAATACATTTTTAGTCGTTGTTGCTCATTTAAGAAAAAAAAAGAAAAAAAACCACACTGTATATGTATATGGCTATGTATATACATACATATATGTAAGTATAGGTGACTGCTATATACATACACTATATATGTATGCATAAGAGAAAGGAAATGGTGAGGGCGACGCAGAGAGGGCTGCAGCCAGAGGCGGCCTCTCCTGCACCCAAATGCAACAGGATGAAGGGAAAAGAAAACCAGAGWGTTTTCCCTACGCAAACCCATCCGACGTCGGGACACGAATCCCTTTCCCTTGGAGCTCCAAGCGCGCGGCTGAGCGTGGGAAAGACGCAATGATAATGTGGATGTGAAGGGCCAAGGGGAGCCCGTCTGTCCCCGTGGTGGTCTGTCTGGCAGTGAGAGCCACTGGGCTCGCGGGGAGCATCCYGCATGGCACCGGGATTGCAGGAGGCTTTTGGCCATGGCCTTGTGGCCGGGCTGGGGCTCTGGCTTGAGCAAAGCCCCCAGGACACCTTGGAGAAGGTGAAGAAAAGGAAGGAAATGGGGAAAAAAAAAAAGAAAAAAAAAAGGAAAACCCAAACATTGCCCAGCATCACGAGGGTCCTTCTGCTGCCCAGCCCGCGCGGGGCTGCGGGCACGCTGCGGCTGCCAGCGCGAGCCGCCCCGCTCCTTCCCAGCGCGGGAAAAGCAGCGATCCCGGGCGGAGAGAGGCCGCGAGCCGCTTGCGCGCGCGCCCGGGGCGAGCGCGAGAGCGTGGGCGCCGCGCGGGCACCCTAGCGCAGCCTCGCCAGCAGCCAGGGCGCCGCGGGCAGCAGCCAGCCCGGCGCCGGGCGCCCGCCGCTCGCCGAGCGCTCCGCGAAGCTCTTCTGCTCCGGCGCCAGGTCCGTGGGCAGCTGGCTCTGCGGGCAAGGAGGCGGTGAGGAGCGGGCGCCCACAAGCGCGCCGCGCGCGCCCCACGCCCCGCTCACCTCCGCGTAGCACAGGCTCGGCTCGCCGGACCCGTTAGGCTTGGCTCCGTGCTCCTGCGGCACAGCGGAGCGGCG